ACTCCTTTCACGCCATTTAGCGGTGGCAAGGGTGTTTTTCTCTACTAGTTTCCTTAAAAGAAAACTTGTGTTTTCTTCATCGTTACTAATGTTTGTCGAGCCCTTTGTACCTCGTCTGTACTCACAGTCAATTTATTCCGTGTAATTTGAATTTGTGTGTGTTTTAGCAAGGAATATAAAGAGAAATATATAAGATCTTTAAGGCATATTTACTTAGCAAAATAACTATGTATTTCTTTTAGTCTGGTGCGTAAGGTTTGGTACTATACTTAGGGCTGATTTTTCAATCGTCAGATATCTTTTAACAGAAGAATAAACTTGTTATTTTGACACATTTCCCATGCTGAAATTGTCAATGTGCTAAATTTATTCTTCGGACTTCTGACGGTTGAAAAATCAGCCCTTAGAAAATTAAATTCTATACGCTACTACAATAACTACAGAAATATCATACGTTTCAAAACTTGCATGTAATAATAATAAATAAATAAATAATTACTAAGGTCACCACATATTTAAACCTTCAAGTGCCGCGTCCGTACATAATTTGTCTTATTTATTGACGTGTTCGCATTATTTATGTATGTTGTATATAATTTCGTTCTTAAAAATACTTTATTTTACAAAGAAAGCCTAACCCACTGTCGTTTATATCATGAATACGATTAAATCAAAAACTTCATCAAGCAAGATTGTTATACTTTATGACGTAATAAAGAAAATTGTCGGCGAACTAACAGAGCCGCTAATTTATACCGAGCGTACAATACAGCATTAAAATTAGACATTAGACTCTTATGTACTTGCAATAAGTACTATTTTGCGACAAAACATAACTTTGCTGTACTGTACAGAATAGCCTGTCGCGCCTAAGTACACCGTTTATTAGAAAAGGCCTTTAAGTTTTTAATGAACTTAAATTTTAACAAGAACAGCGGACACATAAAATCTCTTCTGCCCCATATTATATGGTCGAGAGGATTTCCTTGATATTTTATGGGAGGCCGAATTTTATGGTGGTCCATAGTGAAGTATGTATTAAAATAGTTTATGGCTCCATCTACCTCTATCGAAATATGTTTGGGAATGATAACCTGAGAATAATTACTGTGTCATCTAAATCCTACTTATCTATACTAATACTTATTATAAATGCGAAAGTAACTCTGTCTGTCTGTCTTGCTTTCACGCCTAAACTAAATTTGGCATAGAGATCGTTTGAGTCCCGGGAAAGGACATAGGTTAGTCTTATCCCGGTTTTTGAAACAGGGACGCGCGCTATAAAGTTTTTCTGTGACACACTAAATTCCACGCGGGCGAAGCCGCGGGCAGAAAGCTAGTAGTTATTATAAATGGGAAAGTTTGTAAGGATCACCATCATCATCATCATTTCAGCCATATGATGTCCACTGCTGAACATAGGCCCTAAGGATATTGATGAAACTTTACAGTATTGTTGTTAAAAGCTAGTAATATAAAATTGCGTTATAATAGTGATATTTAAGAAAAAGTTGTATTTCGACCTAGTTGTAAAGAGTAGGTAGTAAATGTGTAGGAAGAATACTCTAATAAAAATGTACCGTGAATATTCCATTATCTATTGAAATATCGTCCATGTTCTTTATGGATGTTGAAAATGTCCCTTATCATAACAATATGCCGTTATACTTCTAATGACAATAACGTTAACCTATTGTCATATTCCAATCCAGTAAGTTGACTCTCTCATAACATTTTCGTAAAATAGAACTGAGATATACAGGGTGTCCCTGTAAATATGGATCAAACAAAAATAATACATTCTACAGTTCTAATGAAACAACTTTCCCCCAGAGAAGGAAGTTCAAATCTTCATAAAAAATATTTTCATACAAAGACTCTTCAGTAATTAGTCAATTTTATTAGTATGGAGACGTCATTTTTGAGAATGGATATTGTTTCTGTGGGATAGTTGTTCCATTGTAAAAATCAATCTTTTTTGTATGATTTAGGTATACTTACAGGGACATCCTGTATGTGTATACAGAGCCAATTTATTCAATAACAAGTACTATTGATAAAAAATTATAAATGCCCCCGTCTCTTTTGGTATTTTATGTCGAATTTTTTAAATAATATCATCAACGACCTTTATACTTGATCTCATGGTAACATGGTAGGTATTAACTCGATTGTACAGCCACTTCTTATACGGCAAAATACGTTACAAACAAGGCTTTTAGGCAATTTCCTCAGATCAAACAATTTCCTTTCAGAGCTGTACGAAATCAAAGCTCCAAAATGGAAAATAAGAGTGAAATAAAAATATACTGTATGGCCATAGTGTAAGTGCATACAGTGGGTACGTTAAGTTTTGATCGATTGATTTGTATCACACGCCTTTGGGTGGCTATTATAGCACGTATCATCATCATCATCATTACAGCCACAGGACGTCCACTGCTGAACATAGGCCTCCCCCAATGATTTCCATATCACCCGGTTGGCAGCGGCATGCATCCAGCGCCTCTATAGCACCAATGTGGAAGGTTATAGATTTTTTTTTACCAACGTTGGGAACCCAGTTCCGTTGTCCCTTACAAAAGAAAGAGTGCCCTTAATTTCATTTGGAGTAATACCTTCATGGAGTCGTGGAAGCTTTTTTTATGAATAGAATTTAAAAAGTTCCTTTGAAATTATACGTCTTTTTATTTGCTGCGCTTTAAAGTCTAGTAAACTTACTGCATTTGCTCCACTTGTGTCATTGCTTTCGGAAGAATCAATAAAATATTGTTATGCCGCGTACCTGGGCATTTTATCAAATAACCTCGTGTGATCGTCGGCTTGAAATGTTAAATAAGAAAACTGGTTATTCGACATGAAAATCTTTTTGTTACCTTTAAAATAGGTTTTCCGTTTCTTATAATATTTTTACTTCTTCCTTCTTTTCACCATGTGGATTGAAATAACGTAGCCTGGCCTACGTTATACTTTGTAACCTAAATAGGAGACTGACATCCTAAATGAGATCAAAGTAAAAACATATATCCCGCATTTTTTTCTATAATTATTTGGCATAAACTTACAGTTATTATAAACTACCTTTTGCCCGCATCGTCATAAATTATAGCCTATTATGTTATTCTGGGTTATAAAAAAAATACTGTAAAGTTTCATCAAAATCCGTTCAATAGTTTTTCGTGAAAGAGTAACAAACATCCAGACATCCACACAAACTTTCGCATTTATAATACTAGTAGGATACGCACTGAAACAAAAACAGTAGCTGAAAAAGACAAAGAGTGCCCAAAAGTAAAATGAATGAATGAAATGAATTCTATTACAAAGTATTTTTTCTATAAATTGCTATAAACCCACGCAATAGATCCTACATCGATCCTTGGTTAAAGCTATTTAGAAAATGATCATTCCTAAATCGACTAATGGTAATGGGTACGCTGGGAATAGTCCTGATAAAATCCATTGTAATATATTTTTGTTAAAATACAAAGACTAAGGCCCGTATTCACAAACGATGCTTGCTTAAGAAGCAGCAAGTCGAACGCACAGCGTTGAATAGAGCTCTGTTATTGGTTCGTGTGTCACCCTGTGCGCCACGCGCACTGTGCGACCTCATAGTAATATTTGCTAATACGGGCGTTAGTTTCAATCAGGAACACCGTAAAAACACCATTTTTTGAGGGTTTTCGCATATGAAAAATCCGCCAGATGGCAATACGTAGACGCGAGGTCCAAATGCTGCATGATTGGTTATTTTTGACATGACATTGACAGATATATCAAAATCCACCAATCACGCAGCAGTTTGACCCCACATCCACGTCCCGCCATCTAGCGGATCTTTCATATGCGAAAACCCTCAAAAAATGGTGTGTTTACGGTGTTCCAGATTTATTTATTTATTCATTGTTTCGAATGTGAAACAAGAAACCTATATCAATTTTATACGGCATGTAGTTGTTTACGAACTACAGTTTTACGACCGCCTGCTTTGAGATATGCGTCTCGGGGGGAGTGTATGTGTGCTGCTAATAATAATGTTACTAATTTATGTTCATGGCGAAGCTGTAAACCTATTTTAATTTTGATTAGAAAAACAAAACTACTCGTATGTCGATTAAATGTCACATTCTAAGTCTATGTGTTGAAAATAAACTAATAAAAAGCCTACAAGTTTGACTAATTAGCATTTCGTAGATAAATAAAATTTGTGCAAAAAATGTAGTGCTTTTATTGTAAGCATTTTTACTGTGAAACTGATATTAATTGGAAATTTAAATGTATATTGTTGTTTTAATAATTAAATGCGGGTAAGCGAAATAATAAGTTTGAATGTGAGTTATGTCAGTTGGAATGCGCTCGGTTGCTAACGGTTGTTTTCGGTCTCGCGCGATCCATTCTGTTACGAGCGCTCGAGTCGAGAGGACCTCTCTGTGTGATACCGTCTGTAGAAGAAAATAAAACTGGTATTGTATAATTGAGTATTATTTCTGGCCTTACTTCTGAACTAATATTATTTTAGTTCAGAAGTGGGATTGAACGGGAATATTACTTAATATTCTAATCACGCCCACGGACTGGACAAGTAAGTTAAAAAGTTTGGTGAAAATATAAGGTGAGTGACACATTTTTTTTCTTATTAAATCCGTAAGAATCTTGTCCATCTTGAGTGTTTATTGTATAATGACAATATAAAAATGAATTGGATATGTGGTTTAGCATAATAATTAAAAATACAGTTTGTAAAATACCTTTGATATTTTTATTTTTGTGATAGTACAAATTATAGTTAGGAAATCTTTAAAAATCTACCCCATCATGGTGGTTTCATGAGTGATCATTATAAAATCATAATTAATAAATATAATTATTTATTAATAAGTACATATTTTGAGGAATACCCTCAATAACTATCTTTTTCTTGAGAATTTTACGTTAGTGTAAATTGAAATTAAATATTTTGTTGACTTAAACGAATATACACTAGACATAAAATAAAACGCAGATTATAGTAGAACTTCATAGCACAGTTAGTGATTTTCCCACCCAAACTGATTTCAGACCAAAAATGTCGACGTATCATGGGGGGATGGAAAAGCAAGACGGACCCCGTCGGGATGACGCGGGAATTACGGAGATTCAAGACGGAAGAGCAACGCCGCCCAGCCGCAGTCGCAGTCGCACGCGGCGGCCTCGCAAACGTCCAAGGAGAAGTCGCTCCGGTGCACGGCGCTCCCGTCCCTCGCGGCGGCCCTCGAGTAGCTCGGGCCGTACGGGGTCCAGAGGCCGTTCGTCTCGGAGACGTGACGGCTCCGACGTGAGCCGACGCAGACGCCGCCGAGCCGATTCGCGACGAACTGCTGCAACAAGGACGCGGCCCTCACGATCGCGCTCACGTTCGAAGTCTTCTGGCGAACGCAGAGCGAGACGAAGACATCGACATCGCAGGAGTGGCGTTCGACGGAGTTCCAGCCATCGCGTAAAAAGTCAAGCACCACATCACAAGCGGAGGCGTCGTGAAACCGTGAGTGAATCATCATGTACTGATAGTTTAGATAGTTATCGAGGTAGTAGTAAAAAGAATGCTTCAAAAACTGTAGATAAATACAACTTTAGTATTCAGGATGTAATGGAATTGATAAAATCGCTGCCCTCATCGGCTTCTCAATCACAAAACCATTTTAGTATGTCAACTAATGCTTTACCCGAGTTTGACCCTGCTAATAAAGAGCAAACTGTTGATATATGGATCAATAAGGTGGAAGAATGTGCGTCTTTGTATAATTGGTCTGAAACACAATTACTTCATTATGCGTTACCTAAATTTACTGGTTTAGCTAAAGTGTGGTACAATGGTTTGCGTACTTTAAAGTATAACTGGGCTGAGTGGAAGGCGCAATTAATTGCACAGTTTCCTACTGTTGAGAATTATGCTCAAATTTTACATGACATGCTTAATAGGAAAGTGAAACCTAACGAACCATTAGAGACATATTATTATCATAAAATTAATTTGCTAAATCGTTGTGACATCAATGGTAAGAGGGCAGTAGACTGTCTGTTAGATGGTTTAGAAGACAAGGGATTGAGGTTAGGAGCACAGGCTGCAAACTACTCGCATCCCGAGGAATTGCTTTCATTTTTCAAATCAGTTAAAACTGAAGACGCAAAGGAAAAGTCATATCGTCAACCGTTTACAAAAAGGCGATTTGATGGTGCTAATGATAGTTCCAAACCTATTTTAAGATGTTTTAACTGTAACGAAGTTGGTCACCCATCGTTCAAGTGCACTAAACCATTAGTTTCGTGTAATATATGTAAACGACTTGGCCATCAAAGCGCTAATTGTAAACGATTATATAAAAATAGTCAAGGTGTTGATAAATCTGTTGAAAAGGATAAGGCAGTATCGGAGATTAAATTAGCTGGAGGTTTGGACGAAAAGTATATTCTACCGATATTTGTCAATGATAAACCAATGACTTGCTATGTTGACCTTGGTAGTCAGAGTACCTTGATTCGTCTAAGTAACTTTAGTGATTTGAATGTTATATACAGTACAAATGATCTACCTTCGCTTAAGGGATTTGGTCAAGCGATTATTGAACCTATAGGTAGAGCAGTTGTACAAATACAAGTACAATCGGTTAAGATATCTGTAGAGGTATTAGTAGTACCAGATGAGTTATTAAAACACCCTGTTTTGTTAGGGCATACGTTTACAGAACAAGCGGGAGTAGTCATAATTAAAACTGATGAACATTTAGTTTTTCAAAAGAAACCTGATATTGACATTGCGAATCAAAAATGTAAGAATAAACTGGTAATTAGTTGTGATGTTGTCGTAAATTCCATTAATATGGTACCAATCAGGACAGATACCAACAGTACTATTAATGTTTATGTTAGAGAGTCAGTAAGGAACGTAGGTATTAATAGTTATTTTGTTATGCCTGGGTTATACACAATTACACAAGGTGAAGGTCACATTATGGTAGTTAATTTAAATTCACACGAGATTAATTTTAAAAATGGACAGTTGTTGACTAGAGCACATTTAATTGATGAAACCAATTGCTTAAATATTAGAATGTTAGAATGTGAAAAGGGGGACCATATTGAAGATTGCTTAAAAACTGGTAGTGAGTTACACGTTGAAGATAGAATTAAACTAAAGGCATTGTTGGAGGAATACAGGAGTTGTTTTTCATTTGGATTGACTGATTTAGGACTTACAAACTTAACGGAAATGACTATTACTTTGAAAGACACTACTCCGGTTGTATATAGACCATATAGACTTGCTTATTCTGAGAGGAATAAAGTAAAGGAAATGATTCAGGAGATGTTGGATTCGGGTATTATCACGGAGTCTGAGTCAGCGTATGCTAGTCCAATACTTTTAGTACAAAAGAAAACTGGTGATCAACGACTCTGTGTAGATTATCGCGCGTTAAACGCTAAAACGATAAAAGAACATTATCCGCTACCCAGAATCGAAGATCAAATTGATCAGTTAGGTGGTTATCAGTATTTCATAACGCTGGACTTAGCATCCGGGTATTACCAAATTCCTTTGGATCCATCGTCACAGGATAAAACTGCCTTCGTTACGCCTGATGGCCAATATCAATTTACACGCATGCCTTTTGGGTTAGCCAACGCACCCTCAGTTTTCCAAAAAACAATAAATAAAATGCTAAAAGACGTCAAAAATGAAGCGTTTGCATTTATGGACGATATTATAATTCCAGCTAATAGTATATCACAGGGCATGGAACGATTAAAAACAGTTCTTGAACTCATTAAAAAAGCAGGCTTAACATTAAAATTGTCTAAATGTTTATTTTTCTGTCAAGAAATAGATTACTTGGGTTTTGAGGTTAGCAAAAACGGGGTTAGACCTGGTTCAAGGAAAACTGAGGCTGTTGAAAATTTTAAGTGTCCGACAAATCAACATGAAGTACGCCAATTCCTAGGTTTGGCTAGCTTTTTCCGCCGATTCGTTAAAAATTTTGCAATAATTGCTAATCCATTGACAAGATTGTTAAAAAAGGACAGTAGATGGGAATGGGGTACTGAACAGGCAAAAGCATTTTCTACACTAAAGTCCGAATTAGTAAAAAGGCCTATATTAGCTTTGTATGACGTAACAGCTAATACTCAGATACATACAGACGCCTGTAAGACGGGCATAGCGGGTATGCTACTTCAGGAGGATAATACAGGTAGGTGGAGAGCGGTAGCCTACTATAGTAGACAAACGACTCAAGAAGAACAAAAATATCACTCCTTCGAATTAGAGACGTTAGCTGTTATCGCATCGTTACAAAGATTTAGAGTCTATGTTTTAGGCATAAAGTTTGTAATTGTAACCGATTGTAACGCATTGCGCACTACTTTGTCCAAAAGAGATATAATACCACGTATAAGTAGATGGTGGCTTCAGCTACAAGAGTATGATTGTGGTATTGAGTATAGGCCGGGTAATCGCATGTGTCATGTTGATGCACTCAGCCGAAACGCAATTCCACAATCATGCGAGCCTGAGCCTGTTTTCGATATTTTAGCGGTAGAAACAGAAGATTGGTTAACAACCATTCAAGGAGCTGACGAAGAAGTTCAGCGAGTAAAGCAAATTTTAGAGGACCCTGAGACGCCTAAAATTAATGAGGTTTATCAAAATTATCGCATAAAGGGAGGTAAAGTTTATAGAGTTGTTGACAGTCAATTAAAGTGGTTAGTTCCGAGGGGGTTTAGATGGCAACTACTAAAAAAATGCCATGATGAACTTGGTCATTTTGGGGTAGACAAAACGTTAGACAAATTAAAATCTCTTTACTGGTTCCCAAAAATGACTAAATTCGTAAAGAAGTATGTTCAATCATGCTTAGAGTGTAGTTACCATAAAATACCTGCTGGGAAAAGGCAAGGAATGCTTCACCCAATTCCGAAAATAGATAAGCCTTTCCACACGGTACATATGGACCATTTGGGTCCATTTGTTCGCAGTAAATCAAGAAATAGTTATTTATTGGTACTTGTAGAAGCTTACACTAAATATGTCAATTTATATGCAGTTAAAAATACAAAGTCTAAGTCGACCATAAAAGTGTTGAACCAATATTTTAGTTTATTTGGAATACCAAGTAGATTGATTAGTGATAGAGGTACATCGTTTACTAGTAAGAGTTTTAAAGATTTTGTGAATAGTCTGGGAATCAAACATGTCTTAAACGCGGTAGCGACACCGCGAGCGAATGGCCAAGTGGAACGATACAATCGTACCATCTTGGCCTCCCTCGCGGTGAAAAATCACAATTGTAAGGAAAATGAATGGGATGTCCATTTAGAAGAGATTCAACTAGGTCTCAATACAACGATAAATAAGGGTACTGGAAAAAGTCCAGCTGAGGTCTTATTTGGAACTAAATTGCGAGCCAAAAGTGATGGTATTGTTACATCTTTGCTTGAACAGGGTGAAGTAGGTAATTCACAAGAAAATTTACAAACAATAAGAGAGAATGTAAACGCTAGAATTGACGAGGAACAAGCAAAACAAAAGGAGAGGTTTGATAAAACTAGGAGAGTAGGTAGGAAATATAAAACAGGTGATTTAGTTAGGATTGAGAGAGAGGTTGGAAGTAATGATGGAAAATCTAGGAAACTAATGGCTAAATTGCAGGGGCCTTACAGAATTGTTAAGGTTTTAAACAATGATAGGTTTGCGGTCGAAGATACGCCTTTGACACGTAAACAAAACCGTAAATATGAGGCAGTTGTAGCTTTAGACAAAATCCACCCTTGGTTGAGTTTCACTCGAGAAGGGTTGGCAGACACAGATGAGGAGAGTTTAACTGATAGCGGAGATAGTCGGACTGATTTGGGATGTGCAGGCAATGATGAGGGTGAAACAAATGTAGTGTCACAGAATATAGATGACAATATTGAGAGCGCTGATGAGTGTAGCGATAATGAGGTCAATGATTAAAATGTGTACGTTTATGATAAATTATTGAATTATGAAATAGTTTCAGTGAGTCATTTGATAAATTAAGATAGTATTTTATTTTGTGAAATAAAAGTCTACGCACAATGGAGTCTGTTGACAATTATGAGTGTGTTAGATAGATTTTGTATGATNTAGTACTTTGTAAGTATCTAGCAAGAATCTTAGTGGTGACTGAGTTTGTTCCGGCGTTTCTTCTCAGCACTTGCCATAATGTTTGTCTCGAAGCGCTGGTTGGGCCCAAAAGATAAGGAGACATGTAAAGTGCCTCATAGGGGCTACCTTTTTACTGTATTTGCCACTTGTGGTCAAAATTGAATAAAATATTTTTATTTTGATTTTTGATTTCTTACATATTTTTTTTACCGTATTCTACGAATAGTCTCCTACTTTCTAGCTGTAAAATTAATCTTTCTTTGACTGTATTTTGCCTCTATAACATTGCAGTCTCATCAAAATATGTTACTATCAGCCATGCATCCATCCATACATAATCCCGGCCTTTTCAAGGCGAGAGTGAATAGGCACTTACAGGGCAGATATGTACCATCCTAGACTGCATCTCACTTAACACCAGGTGCGATTGCGGTCAAAACCTACCTTGTCTTGCATAAAAAAAAACTTAAGTCTTCCTAATATAAGTAAAGAAAATCTAAAATCTTTGGGTTACATAGAAATGAAACACGAGTAACATTTTTGTATTGATCCACTGAGCTTGAGTCTTACGGCCACAAGGAAAACCGATCTTGGATATTTCGCCATGACTGTTTCTGACAGAGGTTAACAGCTCGCGTGGTTTGCTTACTTTATTGCAAATTGCTTGTAATGTTATTAAAATAATATTTAAAAATGGCGAGGATATTAACCAAATTCATAAATAATTTTTATTTTTTTTCCTCTCTGGGTGGTATGAAATCATCATACGTGTTAAAATAAATTCGTTGTTAGCATGTAAGTTCTTTTCAGAGCTATAAAAATACACATTCAAAACATAGATTTTTATTATTATACCTATCAATTTGAGACAATATAGCCTAGTGCTAAACCTTGGCGGTAAATATAAATCTAATATATACTTTCTTTTTGTTTTTAGCAGAGTCCTTTGGAAAATGTCTACTACACTCATGTCTACAACTCTACACACCAAGCCCACCGACAGCCTGGTGGCTTGATATAGGTTGCTTTATTTCAAAAGAATCATGTCGACAACTTGTTTATACTCGTATATCCTACACTAAACCGTAACCGTCCCAGCTATGACTTTGTCAGGAAGGCGCTACAATAAAAAATACTGAATTATTCGTTCAGATTATGCCATGTTGGACTACCTTAATTATGAAATTTACAGGAGGGCGCTACTATCAATACTAGGTTGTTATTGTAAGTCTTTTATTTTTGCCACTTGACGTTTCAAAGTCGTTGGACTACTTTCTATAACTTTTGACATTATGTCAAAAATCGACCACTCATGTCGGCGGGTCGGCAGGTTTACTATGTAGACTCATAAGAAAGTTTTTGACTACAATTTTTAAACATTTTGCCAAAATATCCCAAAAATCCCTTTCGAGTTCTTAGCAAGCCCATGCAAAACGTGGCGCCGTCTCATGACGGTTTGTTGACAGTTCACAAGTTGTACAACTCCGTTTGACAGCTACACTGACGTTTGGCATTAGCAGTAATCTGCATTGCACGGTCGACGGGTCACGGCTCGGAGCTGAGTAATTTGGCCAGGTTTACTTTTGCCTTTTTTATTTCGTTTGCATTGTGTCTGGGTGAGATAGGACGCGTTTACAATTGAGTAGGTTGTAATTAACTGGATGGCACATCAAGCTAAAATTACTGTAGCATCCACTAATGTAAGTGCTTTAAGTGTGATTTTCTAGATCATTAATTCCCGCAGGCCTCCTACTAGGTGGACCGACGATCTCGTAAAGGTCGCGGGAAGAGCCTGGATGCGGGCAGCGCAGGACCGTGCATTGTGGAAAGCCTTGGAGGAGGCCTTTGTCCAGCAGTGGACGTCATTTGGCTGAAACGAACGAACGAACGAATGCCCGTTTTCACCATCAATCCCTAATTTTAGTGACGCTTATGAAAACAAAATTCCTATTATGTGTAACTAACCATAGGGGTCACTTAAAATGAGGGATTGATGGTGAAAACGAGCATAAGTCTCTGCTGGAGGAGGACGACCATCTCTTTTTTACCATAGTTAATGGAGAGTTTGGTCTACGCTCCCCCCGCTGGCTAGTTAGGTTTAGAATGCCTGGTGTTCGCATACTGCACCCTTAGTCATCTCTCACGACATTTTATGGGTATAGTAAGGGTGAATGCGTTAATTCTGTACCCCCAGTGAAAACGGAGTTAAGTCGAAAATGGTGATTTTTGGGAAATCGCATTTGAAGTTAAAAAAAATCCTGCTTCGTCGCTATTATAGATAACTTGGTGAAATATTTTTGAGGTGAAAGGTAATGTTAGATATAATTAGGCAGTGTGCCAGTTTGGGAAATATAGCATGTAGTTTTTTCGTAATTAAATAAAAACCCAGTTATATCGCCATGCACGGCAACTTTACATTCGTGTAAAGTGATGTAATGGGACACAAATCATTTTACACCACACTGAATTGACCACCCGCTAACAAGTNTTATTTTATTATTATTTCTGTTTTATTTTTCTCTTTTTTAAGCTACGTTTTGTAGCTACGCTAAATACCCAAACCTAAAATAAAATAAAAACAAACAATGATGGAATGAAGTTGTACTATTTTACACGAAATTCATTTTTGACCAAAGCAAGCCTAAAAAAAGAAAAAAAGAGCATTCCCTTTTATCAAAAGCCAGAATATTGAACGAGTGAGCCAACATTTTTGACGTGATTTACGTTATAACCTTACAAAATAACAAATGCAACTATAACAAGGAAAAAGTCAAAGTTCCGTCCAACTATTCCACAAACTACGGGCGGCCCAAGTCAGGCCAACAATCTAGTGTGAAGCGAAGATGGTCCTATCTATTCGGCGAATATTTCTTTCGCAAAATTCATTAATCACCACGTCCTACAGAAGTTACGAGCTAGTTAAAAATAAACAATAAATGCATCCTATTTTACAGAAAATTAATTTCCTTTTTAATCAAAGCAACCTATTTATTAGTGTTACGGGCCGGAAAATCGTTGTGGAAATCTTTGAGGGAGGCCTTTGTCCAGCAGTGGACGTCATTTGGCTGAAACGAAAGAACCTAACAGACACAAAGTGAGTTATAAAGTAAGTATCCTTTTAAATAAAAGCCTAGAATATTTGACGAGTATGCCCAAAAATTAAATCTGACTGAATACTCACATCGCTAGCAAAATAACAAGTGCAGCTATAACAAGGAAAAAAGTTCCGTCCCACTATTCCAAAAACTGCGGCTGAAGTCGGGCCAACAATCTAGTGTGAAGTGAAGATGGTTCTTATCTATTCGGCGAATATTTCTTTCACAAAATTCATTAATCACCGCCCTACAGAAGTTACGGGGCTTTGGTTAATCCATCTCTCTTAACAGCATTATCTCGGGGTGTCACGATGGATAGATCAGGGAAGACATGCAGCTATGGGAATTTATTTATTTGATTAAAACTATTGTGGGAACTTTTTACAGAATGCTTGAACGTCCATGTAGCGTTAAGTTGAATGTATTAAATCAAATAATCTTACTTGATATTGGCTACAATGCATACATACTTTTTAAAAGTTAACAGATAACCAAAAGATACAAAAATTTAATGGAATCAGCGGAGTATGATGTCTCATGAAATGCGGTCATATTATCATACCACAGTAAATAAAATACTATGGTCATAAGTACTGTAGTAGTTTCAAAGTGTTAAAAGCAACGTCGATATTTTTAGGAAATTTTAAAGCACATTGCATTGTTTTATAAAAAACTTTTTTCAATATGTAATTGGTATTCTGCTTCTATTGAGCGAGATTTCCCAGAAAGTTTATAACACGCTATAGAAATTCAAGAACATACAACGCCAGTTAGGTCCCTTCTTGCTGTGTATAAATAAATCACAATCTTTATTTTACATTTCCCGACCTAGTTTGTAACAAAACGGACTACAAAACTGCGGCGCGTATATTCTGCAAAACGATTTCGATACATCAACTCTATCCCACTCTCTCACTCATGTTAAACTCCGGAGAGTCCGAGAGAGATGGATAGAGGTATATATCTTAATTATTGTACCTAGTAAGGTGCCCTGGCCAGCACGCAACCTATCTCACTGGTCAGTCGATTCAATTTGCTGGCTGTCACTCACGCACGTTGTAAGTCAGCAAGTACTATTTAACTAGAACAAATTGCAAGTGGGTTACCGTGTGGATTTACATTTTTCTGTTTATACACAGTAAATCTAACAATGAAGCTACATGAAAACTTTCGAAATGACACAAGCACACAGGCGCATGCTTTAACAAGGGCAAATGCGAATTCGCCGCGAATATCTTCGCGAAAATAAATATGAAAACCGTACTAAGTCAAAAATAGACGTGGTGATCGAAAATACCTAATCGGCCAATTCAATTTTCGTCAATTCCGTCCATTATTGTACAGACATAAGGGTCGCGTTTCTTCCAGATTCCTCTCATACATTTGATGGAATGCTCCTGCCACTTTTTGCGTTTCTATCAGCGTCAGTAGCTGTCAGCAAAAACGTAACGTACGTAACAAAATTCCATAACCGTTATCTTTTATGACAGTACGCAGCTAACTTCAGTATGGGAGGGCTATACATGGGACGATTATTTCAAATTCTTTGTAAGAAACTAGCTCATCTGCTGGGTACTTAAACATATTATTAACCTTTTCTGCTGATTTATTAAAAAAAAAATGTTTTAAAATTTTTGAAGCAATATAATTCCAATTAGCTTGCAAAATCTTTAGAATTGCAAAGGAATCTTGACTGAGTTTGGTTTGGCACCAAATTCCACATTTCACGCGTTTATGCAATGTACTTTCATCTATTTTTGATTTGTATTTAATTAACATGGCACTTTAGAGGCCAATTAGATTCAAGGCGATAGTTATAAGATTAAAATGTTATCAAGACCGACACGATAGCAATGTTAACGATACATTGTTCGTTCGTTTCAGCCAAATGACGTCCACTGCTGGACATAGGCCTCCTCCAAGGTTTTCTACAATGCACGGTCCTACGCTGCCCGTATCCAGGCTCTTCCCGCGACCTTTACCATATCGTCAGTCCACCTTGTAGGAGGCCTGCCCACGCTACGTCTTCCAGCCCGTGGTCGCCACTCGAGAACTTTTCTGCCCCAACGGCCATCGTCTCTACGAGCTATGTGTCCCGCCCACTGCCCACATACACTGTACCTCTGTTCCTATCGCACCATGTAAAGGCCCCAAGAGCGCGGAATAGAGGCACGTTGTCTCCTAAACTATATTAGCGCGTCGACACTCTCCACGGGTCGTTGGGCCGCTTTTGATGAAGGATTTGCTCCTTGAAAGCTTTTGTTATATTTTTCTTCAAGAAATTCCCCTTTTAAAATATACGTTGAAGTGCCATCTCGCAAATATAGTGGATTGCAGCAGCGATTGGGACTAAATTGTTAGTGTTGTGCACCTTTATAAAAGCCTCGGCAAAGACGGCGTTCTGGAAAGTTCTTATATTGGATTGACTGGTGACTTTAGGGGACAATTTCTCTAGTAATAACAAAACAAAATGGTTTTGTGTAAAGTAGTGCACCGTATACATACACATATTGTTATTTCTACAGTCGTCAGGAAGACATACAGTCACATGTAGGTAACTACAGTCTCACCTGGCTACAAAACTGCGCATTTTAAGAACTGCATGGTAAAAATTGTCATCCATAATACTCATAAAAGACTTTAACCAGTAACTTCTTCCAGTTCAAAGATACATACAACAGCTTTTATTTTTTGTTTCTGCCCATACGTTTCGAGGTAGCGAGTTTTATTACAGTACAATGTTCGACGTATACTTTCAGGCGTTCTAAAAATCCTGCATGAAATTTAATGGGAGTCTCCCTACACAGCGGCATCTATCTTTCATAGGGTGAAATCAAGCGTGCAGTGATAGGGCGCAGTCTGCATTTTGTTCTTTGCTCCAGCGCACTAGTACAGTCAGATGCACAGATTTATTGCAAAAGTTCAACCTTATCACTAGTTGTTAAGGGTCAAAATTTAGAAGGATGATGCACAAGAATGTCTTTGCTTTTTGACAAAGTTGAACTTTATTACCAGAGGATAAGGGTCAATATTTGAGAGAGTACTGATTGTATTGATACTGTAATTATAGCGTAGTCAAGGACCTAAAAGAATCCAAAATGCAACGGCTTAGAGAATAGGTAAAATGACTGAGAGCGTAAAAAGTTTAATAGAAAAATGGAAATAAATAAAATTTATTCAATTTCTAAAGGCATCAAGTTTATGTACTTTTTATGAACTGTAATAAATAAAACTTTTATGTTTTCGCCAACGCAATTAAAAACACGCCTTTTATGCCTCGTAATTTTAAGACCTTTAGAAACCTTTACCATTAAAGGCACACTCGACTTTTACATATAACTTTTATCCTGCATCACATAATATGATTGGTCCGTGTACGTAATACATTGTGCCTACTGCAAAGCATAAATCATGTTCCCTCGAACACCCTTAACCACTACCTTCGCGATTAAGTCCCCCCTAAACACTACCTTAGCGAATAAGCCTATGCAAAATCGGGCCTCTAATAACGCATAAAGTAGATTGTATAATCATCCTCTTGACACTACGGTGAGCAATGTAGACTTATTATGTATTCGCCAATTTGCACAAGACTTGCCTAAATATAGGCTGTGTTTGGACATAAATGAGGGACTATGTACTTTGTTTCAGGTGGTCGTAACACGGCGGTATGGCTAAAAGAGTCCTGAATAATTCAACAGAATATTTAGCCGGTCCCAAAACTGGGCCTTGTGTGACACCACATGACTGCAGACACAATGCCAAAAAGATTATGCCCCCGTAATGGACTAGTGCGGAACATTGATGTGAAATCGATTCGAACAATGAATCCGATGCCGGTTTAATCGAATGAATGGACGGAAAAAATCCATTTGGATTTAACATTGTCAAACGCGGAAACGAATGAAGAAATTCATTAGTCAGGTAATTATTTCGGGTCGTGTATTGTGAAATGGAACGGGTATTTCTATTTAGTTCGTGTTAGGGACAGTGGACTGAATGGAATAGAAAATGATGCCAAATTAGAAAGTAATGAAGACGTTCGGGGTAGTGCGAGCATTGGAGACCATGTGCATTGGTGGTGTGGTGATGAAGGGAGTGCTGGTGCGACTGGTGGTGGCGATGATGTCGGCGGCCCTTGTGATGGGCACTGGCGAGTGGAGTGAAGACGCTGAGGATTTAGGTAAGTGTTTGAATAATTACTATGTTTTGCTCTCTTTTAAATAGGTTTTTAGTGTTCAAAGAAGTTCAAAATTACACCGTCAGGTTTTGTAGGTGTCAGGATGTTAGTTAAATTGTGTTTCGTCGCATTGAATTCAATAGTAATATTTTAACGATTCACATTTTTATTTAGAACTCTTATTAATGAATTAATCAAATTAATGCATCTGAGGCTTCATAATGACAATTTTTACTTATGTACGAGGCAGTTTTAAATGGTTTTGTGTAGTAAGGTAAGGTTTAGGAAGTACTAAACTGCTAACTAATATTCAATTAATAAACCTTACAATATTTAAGTGTCTCTCTCTAGTATTACTCAATGTTTGAAATAAGAATTCTCTTCTAAACAATCTAGGAAGAAGTATTTTCGAATAAGGCTTTTTTATTGTACAAATAAAGGCAAAAAGTATCCCATATCCGTACAATTACGAGTATTAGATTGCACGTTCTTTTCCGGGAGAATGACTTGTGTGTTCAAGTTTCATTGACATCTCCCCGGAGTTGGGGATAATGCACAGGGAACGGGACTATCTTGAGTAGCGGCATGTGTTTACTTTGGATATACATACTGGTATTATGTATTACATGTGTAACATACTTTGTTGTTTTACTAAGGAGGAGCTCTAAGAATCTATGCTATTGTTAAAGCGCTAAAGAACTTTTCTCTGTTTATGTTTCAAAACCGCTGAAACAATTTGTTATTAATTTTGTTAAAAATATTGCTTCATATAAAATCTTTCGCACTTTATACGGCTTTGTCAGAAAGACTTCTACATAGTTTGAAAAAACTGGTGCTATACTCGTCGTTATAATTAAGTAGGTACCTATCTAAAAGAATCAATAAATTCCTAAAATTACAAAACGCTCCTTTAAATTCAATTTCCAGTAATACGAAAAAAAATCACTTTAAAATATAAGACTTTAATTATTATACGTTTTGAAGTGATAATTAAAACAATCCTACGATTTAAAGTAGGAGTATTATTGTTTTCACTAGCCCTTAATTACCCACACAAAAAGGCCAATGTTAGTGGCTAGACATTTTGAAACTCCTACCAACGAAAGGTTAACCAAAAACAGATAAAATTTAGATTGGGATACTGACAAGCAACATGACTTGTAACAAAAAGCGCGGGAACATTTGCGCGGCGCCTAACTAATCTAATTATAACTTGTAACAATATGGAGTTATGACATCTAGCAATATCTGGACTAATTCAATTACTCCCGTATTTCCTCGAGTGTTCGTTTACGGGCACATGTCTATTCTATGCAGCTATATTGAAAGCATCAAAGTAATGAATTAGAAGGAAATCGAGAAGCTATTTGTCTAGAAAATCGTTAGGTCATCAATTATGTTACTGTAAGATCCTGACCATTTGCTTATTACTATCTTTTACCACTAGGTTTAATGTAGATGTTTTGCCAAGATTTTCAATTAATATGAATCTTATTTATAATAGTACTATTATAGTCATATAAGTTTTTAGAAGGTCACGGATTCATCGTCAGCAAGACCTAATTAAACAATGTGATTAAGGCCCGATTCGACCAAACTTTTATTCGAGAATAACTCCTGGTATAACTGGCACATTGACAGTTTCGGTATGGGAAATATGTGAAAACTGACCATTTATTCTGGGATTAATATTTAATTTTACTCTTGTTTGGTCGAATCCACCCTTAACGAAATAGTGATAACTACATATTGTTAAAACAGGACAAATAAACAACGTTCTAGCTTAGCAAAAGACGAAAGCCAATTTGCATTATTCCGTCGCCCGACTGCTTTTCAAGCTGCTTCTGACGTTTCTATTAGTACAGCACAACCTTTTAAACAGCACGCGTGCGGCAAACTGCATGCACCCTGCAGAAGTCTGATTGCTCACATACCTGGTTGGAATTCGTAAAGCAGACTCAGAGAAGCTAAACAATTTACATTTTTATTCCAGAAGCTGCAATCGAAACAACAAAACTTTGTATTGTCCCCGTTCTAAAAGATCTTTGATCGGCCCTCCTATTTTCCTACCTGCCCGGGTCTGGATGTTCAGGAGCTGGCGTAACGCCAGACTATTTCTTTTGTCTTTTCGATGCTCCTTCAAGTATCATCGACGTAGCATTTGCATCATGGGCGGGACTTGAAGGTTTATTTGTAAAAACTTATTCTTAATTATGAAGAACGAGGTTTTGTAACTGTCTAATAAATAATTCATTTATCACAGTCATAACATTTAATATTGATGACCTGATAAAGGTCAGTGAGCTGACAACGACAGTAAGCCACTTCCAACTGACAACAAATTAACATTTTATCAAGCCTGCCCTGATTGGCCGAAACATAAATGTATGAAGTCGTCAGTCTAAATGACCTATGCCAAACGGATGGTGGCATATAAAAACTGACAAAAAGTTGTGAATGTAGTCAGACATCACACAGAAGCAGAAAAAGTGTTTGTAAACTGTAGTTAAAATTGGGCTCATCTCATAAAGTTAAGGCTGGGTTGCACCATCTTACTTTAACTTTGACAAACGTCAAAATTCTGTCAAACTCCATACAAAAAGCACCGGTTATCGTCATAGTTACCGTTAAAGATACTGGTGGTGCAACTTAGCCTATACCAAGTAAATAATTTTATGATTTAAAGGACAGTAAAACTAATCACATGCTTATACTTCCACATCTCCTTCTGAATTCTGATTAGGACCCAGGCCATTGTTGACGCAATCAGTGGCATTTAGCTAAACTGCCTGGCAGGCATTACGTGTCAGCTTTGCCTAGCAAACAACATTTTAGTCATTTAGCTTTCCAAGAAATTTTGTAGCCAGCGAAAATAACAGAGTAAATATTTTGAGTTATAATTTTAGGAGGAAAAATATTATAAAACATGAACAATAATTAAAACGTGTGGTGTATGCAAGCAACACTAATAGGTGAAGTCATTTTTTAAGTGAAAAATTATAACTTACCTACTGAAAACTACGAAAATTTTGTTTTGAACGTCACTGTTGCGGACAGCCGCTCGGGCGTGCGGAAATAAGAAAATCCTTCGGTTAAAATGAAGATATATTCCTGCAAAATATGCCCACAACGGCTATCAAAAAAACATCAACTTCAAACTAAACAAAAGGTATCAAAAGTAATAAAAAAAGTATAAAAAACATAGACAATATAAAAAAGAGGTTGGTCCACCAATCGGTTCCCAACATCCTCCCCTCCTGTGGCGAAGCCACACTACTCTAGGGGTGCACCGACAGGTGGATCAGCCTGGATGAAATGGGAATGAAGCACCCTAGATGGCATGAATCGGGGTCGGCTGGTATCTCTGCAGTGGGCTGTGGGCGGCTATTAATAAGAGCTTCTGCTTTTCTCAGAGCATGGCATACAAGGCAGTCTCTACGTGGCGTCATGTGCGGAGCCACTGACGGTTGAAAGGACCAAGAAATGCCAGGGTTGGCTCCAGTATCTGCCATGGACTTCAATATGTTGGAAGCGCCGACGAAAGCCGTCCCACTGTCGGGAAAAATCTTCAATGGAGCACCGCGTCGTGCAATAAAACGCCTCCAACGCCATGAGCGCGCTGTCTGTCGATAAACTGGCCACCAGCTCCAAATGGATCGCTCTCGCAGTCAAGCAGGTGAAGAGTGTGATCCAACGTTTCTCATGCCTTCGCCCCGCTGTGATGAGAACTGGACCCATGCAATCTAACCCCACGCAAGTAATGGACGTAGGTGATGCGCTAGTCTCTCCGGAGGTAGGTCTTCAATGGGCGGAGACATGGCTTTCGCTTTATTAAGAATGCACCAGGCACACTGTAGGACGGGATCGAATGGAGGCCCGCAGATGGAGCACCCAAAAACCTCGACGGACTGCATTCATCACAAGTCTTGGTTGGGCGTGCGCAGCTTTCTGGTGGTAATATCTTAACATAAGCTGTACTGTTCTATTTCGGCCATCCAGGAGCATGGGACGCTTTGTCGAAACTGGAGCTTCCACTGTATCGATGCGACCGCGGAGTCGAACAATGCCTTCGTCGTCCGTATACGGCGCGAACATCCAAATTCGGCTCTGTTTTTCAACTGGGGCAGACCTCTGCAGCGCCTCATATTCCTCCGAGAAAGATTCCTTCTGGTAACTCCTGAATATATGTTGCTCAGCCTTCAGCAAGTCCTCAGCTTCAAGAGGCTTCAAAAGCTTCATGAAATGACAAAATGAGGATGGACGTCGTGAATGATGATTTAAAAGATTATCCAAACGAGTCGAAATTAATTTTGAATTTATTCGATTTCTAAGAATTTTGATAAATTGGTGCGCGCGAGCAGTCGCGCGCACAAATCTCAGCCAAACAGAAAAACGCGTCGAATCTGCTACGACCGGGCTAGACGTATCTACCGTTACATGAATGCTATCAATTTTCTTAAATTTTCGAAAGCATTCTATACTTAGAGCTGACGAAGGTTCAGTATTTGGCCAAAGCTTCAACTGGTCGCTGGGTAAGGCCTCATCCCAGCCAACCTTGTCTGTCCAGGCAGCCTGGAGGAGGATTCGTCCGTGAATAGTAAATGGCAATAAAATGCCCATCGAATCAATCAAACGCATAAAATAGGAAAGTGTATCGCGTTTGATCAACCTGGA